ATATTTGTATTTATTTGCTCTTCCGAAATTGTCGGTCTCTCCTCTCCTTTGTTTACAAATTTTCTCAATATTTTCAAGACGTTTTGTGAGAACAAAAACTCATGAAATGACAAGATAAAATACCGGTCTCCGAGATTCTTTGTGTTCTTTTTTGCAAATAAATTACAAAAAGAGCAGGTGTCCGTCCGCCGTACGAAGAACAGTAGCGAAGCGCCATGCGGGGCTACGATTAATCTACGAGACCGTCGGGAAATTATTGCTTAGGACGAAATTTTGAAGATTTTGACAAATGAAAAATGCTGATTATTATTCTGAGATCTTGAGAAAGATGTTATAAGAAAACTATTGGAAAAAACATTCATCGTTTTTATCATTTTTAATGAAAATTATAGACACTGCATACTGATAGATTACATTTCATCTTATATTCGATGTTGAGCCACATAATGTCATTTAAAAATTCTTAATATCTCGTTTCATGTTTCAAAGCTATTTGACAGAAATATAAGTTCTTTTCATTGCGATAAATATTATGAGCAGTTTAAAAATTTACCATAAAAATGTGTAGTATCTAAACCATAAAATTCCAAACCTTTGTGCTTTACCCTGGACCCTCTATTTACACCATATCAATTTTTTTATAAGTTTCTGTTTTAAAATTCATTATTAAATATTTGAAGTAAAAATACATGTTAATTTTATACATTTATTAATAAAATTTCAAATAAAAAAAAATAAAGTAAGTAAATATTGCGACTACAAATCGACTGCCTACTTATGCTACGATATACACATTTTTATAAAAAATAACAACATATTTATTCACGTTTCAATTCTATATATTAATATTGCAAATGACTTCATTAAAGTTGGTATAATTTAAGTGAATAAATATTAAAGTGGTGTATTATGATCCACTATCGTGGACTCCCATTTTCATTTCGTAGACTCCGAAATTTTTTTTCCGCCTACGAGGACTTCCTGAAAGTCCATGTGGACTACTAACAAAATCACAGCATATCAAACTATCTACTATCTACTATCAAACAGTAATTTTAATTATACGCAAAAGTAGTAATAGTAATTTATGAAATCGTTACCAATTTCTGCAATATTTTATTCATGGTGATAAATAATAATACATTATTTTTTATATAAATTTAATTTGAACTCAATACGTCTTACTTATTTATTACTCTGAGTAATTAAATTTCGATTACTAAAACTATACGTATTTTACAATATTATGCATTTTGAAAACACAAGTTCATTTTAATCATGTTTCACGTATCAGTAACTTTTGTAATATTCTACTTAAGCTCGTTTCATTGCTTTTTATTTTAAATAAAGCGATTAGTATGTTTTCGAAAATATAGTATTTTTGCAAACAGGTTGTTTATGACCGCTCTGCTAATTCCTAAGAACTTGTAATATACAAATACACAATGGTCTTTGATATTTTCGTAAAATAGGTTGTAAAGAAATGGAGGATTATTCATTCTATTGTATAAAGCACTTACAAAGCCGTGACATTGTCAAAGTATTTGTCGGAAAAAAATTATTAACTCACTATATAAATAGTATGTTCGAAGATGTGAAACATGAAGAATTTAGTTTAGAAAAACATTACATTATTGATTTGAATTTTTGAATATTATACTCTTTGTCATCAATTGTCATCTTTTGTTATCAATGTTTATAATTTTTGTATTAGTTTCTCCATGGAAGTATTTCGTATTTTGATTGATCAATTAGGTAATTTTATTTTTATAAATTTATTCTCCATTTTCTGTCAATACATTTTACCGCTCGTTAGGTATTAAATTTTCCGATTTCCCATGATACGCTTCCTCCATGTTTATTTGCATCTGTTAATGTGTATTCCTTGTCGAGATTATTTTTCGAAGTCCATTCAATTAGAGTTTCACTGATACTGTCAGCTCTCTGAATTAACATCATCCATTACTCCGCAATTTAAATCTATTGAAAAGATCTCGAAAAATAGAATAAAACACTAGTAGTAAACAAGTAGATAGTAGTTGATATGGGCATTGGAATCTGATCGTGTTCTTGGTTATTTGTATTTTAGCACAATATTCTAATTTACTGTTTTTTTCACGACCGCTTCAACTAACCGTCTGAGCCTATTAGATCATAATCTTCTGAACATCAATTTCTGTTTAGCAATTTTCTAAAGCTTTTTACATCATATGTTCAGCACCTTTTCGATTATCTCCCCGAAGACTTTCCATAGGTAGGTGTAATTATAATCGAAAACCTCGCATAATGGGTTCGCACAAAACTAATTGATAGTTGCGAAAGAACAATTTATGGTTTTCTCAGAAATCCCATAACGGAACCCCATGCCATAAATACCGTTTCGTCCTCTATTAATTACTTCTAGGTTTTATACATCTTGCGTTTATTTTACAAGTCGATGCTAAGCAACTGACACCTTATACTTAAATCGATTAGCTTGCATTAATGCACATGCAAATTATTAATTTCATATGTATATATTTATATTATATATATATACACACACACATATATATATATATATATATATATATAATATACATCTTTTGAGTGCCAATGTATAATGATTGACGTCTTCAAATAACTTAAATTTTATCAGTTACTATTGATTATTAGTAATGCAATACATACATTCATTTATAATTTCAGATTTGGCCGTTCAAGAAGAACGTTCCGGGCGAAAATTTTCCAGAGTTTTTTCTACAGACGTGATGTTGGCTACGTCCGGCGTGGTCCTGCGGTGATCTTCCAGAGCGGCGCTAAAATGGCGCTGCTGCGTTTGCTCTTTCTGTTGCTGTCGCCGCTGGTAGGCGCGGTGACCGAACAAGTCAGAGAACTCGAAATATCCGAAGCCGTACCTGTAGGAACCAGGATCGGATATATCAGCGACGGAGGCAGTCAGGCTCCAGGACCCCCTTACCTCATGTACCAGTGCCTGGAAACGCAGTGGACTCAGATCTCTCCATCGAGCACACTACTGGTGAAATCAGGACTAAAGTGCCATTAGATCGTGAAACTCGAGGATCGTATTCTTTAGTGGCAATTCCTCCCAGTGGAGACAACATTCGAGTGCTAGTGCGAGTGCTCGATGAGAACGACAATGCGCCCAAATTTCCTTCGCCCACGATGGATATTGAGTTTCCTGAAAATACACCGCGTGACGTAAAAAGAACGTTGAATCCTGCGAAAGATCCTGATTTAGGTGTTTTTAATACACAAAGATACAACATAGTCTCCGGGAATGTGAATAACGCTTTTAGGTTATCCTCTCATAGAGAGCGAGATGGTGTCTTATATCTGGATTTACAAATAAACGGATTTTTAGATAGGGAAACGACTTCATCGTACACCTTAGAAATAGAAGCGTTAGATGGTGGAAGCCCACCTTTGAGAGGCGTAATGACGGTCAACATAACAATTCAGGATGTAAATGACAACCAGCCAATTTTCAACCAAAGCAGGTATCATGCCACTGTGCCCGAGAACGCTACTGTAGGTACAACCGTTTTGAGGGTATCTGCAACGGATGCAGATGCTGGTGATAATGGTCAAGTAGAATATTCAATAAACAGAAGACAAAGCGACCGAGACAGTATGTTTCGCATCGATTCATCTACAGGAATGATCGTGGTCAATAAGCCCTTAGATTTTGAGACAAAAGAACTCCACGAATTAGTAGTCGTGGCCCGTGATCACGGTCTGCAACCTTTAGAAACCACAGCTTTCGTTTCCATTCGCGTAACAGATGTCAACGACAATCAGCCGACCATAAACGTTATTTTTCTCAGCGACGATGCAACGCCAAAAATCTCCGAATCTGCACAACCCGGCGAATTTGTAGCTAGAATTTCTGTGAACGATCCGGATTCTAAAACGGAGTACTCTAATATAAATGTGACATTGTCTGGCGGCGATGGTAGATTCGGTTTGACGACGCGAGATAATATTATCTATTTAGTGATTGTATCCTTACCGCTGGACAGAGAGTCAAAACCGGACTACACGCTGAACGTCGTCGCGACTGACACGGGATCGCCTCCTTTGCACGCATCGCGGACAATTCATCTAAAAGTCACCGACATTAACGACAACGCGCCCATGTTCGAGAGCGCAGTCTACCGCGCCGATGTAATGGAAACGGCAGAGATCGGAGCGTCGGTGATTAGAGTGACCGCCTATGATAAGGACGAGGGTGACAACTCGGATTTAGTGTACGAACTAATAGATTCGAGCGAATCGGCCAATGATTGGTTTGCAATTGATTCGAGAACGGGAGTGATAAGCACGCGGTCGAGAATTGAATGTGAAATTAACCCCGAGCCAAAGTTAACAGTGGTTGCCAAAGACGGTGGAAGACCTCCCTTGTCATCCACCGCGGTTGTGTTAGTGACAGTGCGTGATGTGAATGACAACGAGCCGGTATTCGACAAGACCTTCTACAATATCTCGGTGCCGGAAAACGAGCCAAAAGGACGCTGCATTTTAACGGTGAGTCTTTAAAGTTTTACATTATTATAAACATTTGATTTTTAACCAAAGAACGTCATTGACGTCGCAGAGTTATAATTCATTTTATATGCCGTTGTAGAATTTGACGTCTTGGGGACTTACAGAACTAAACAATACATAGTTAGATTATATATTTTGTTTTTGTTTTATTAAAATAGTAAACACATTTTAAAACAATCTACTGTACCGGCTTTAAACTTGATTTCATTGTGTATGTTATGCAATTTGTTTGATAAAAATTTGTGGTCATTGAAGAACATGCTTTTATAATATCAATTTATTTTTCATCATTTTATAAATAATGGTAATGTTTAAAACAATTTCCAACATGCATTGCGGGTTGGTTTTGACATATTTCACAATAAAATGTTTGCCGCTTTCCTGGTGCTTTTCTGCCAGAACAGACTTTACAACTCTTTTTTCTTTCTCTCGCACTTTTTTTTTTATTTCATTAAGTAATTACAACTGTCTATAAATATGACATCTAGTAATTTTTATGATTAATATAAATAGAAAGGGCATATCAGGCCGCCCACTGATGGTCCTAATATTATTGTTGTTGTAGATGGAAATGTTTGAGATTTTCAAAAATCACCGTTTTACAAGACTTTTTACAAAATTTTAGTGTGATATTAGTTTTTGTTGTATTTCTTCTACTAGTCGTTTTGCCATATTAAAAAGCGCTTGGTTGTTTTGCCATATTTTAAAAAAACTATATGGCAAAGAAAATGACTAAAATACTTCTAATATAACTAATAATTATTTTCAAAATACAACAATGTTTATCACTGCTATTTGTAATCTATTCAACGTTTCGATGCAAACTGAGTCATTGTTTATAAAATAGCCTGTGCCTCACAGATAGCCTAACACAGTACGTTGTTCACTCAGGTGGACAGCCGTCCCCAATGAGTTAAAACAACCGAAATAATATCATATTAATATAGGATAGGGCGGGGCACAAAAGTTCAATTTTTGCAATTCTATTGTGAAAATCAAAACGATTATATTATATCATAACAAATAACACATATCAAACAAACAACTATCTGACTATGTGCAGTAAAACTTCTACCAAATTCATTATCTTTAACCTCCACGAGAAACAAGGTGTTACGTACATACGTCTAATTTTTTTTTAGTTATATTAGTCCTAATTAAAGGAGAACGAATTACAATTTTCAACACCAAACGACACAAGAGTTGTTTCTAATATATAGAAAATATTGAGTAATATATTATTATTTTAATTAATATATTTAATATATTAAATAAAATGTATGAATTAGTAATATAACCAATGATGTTTTTTGTCACTTTTTGATTAAAATTTCAATTAAAGATAATTTATTAAACATTTTATGTATACATATCAAATCAAATTATAAATATTATTCATATACACTTAAATACTTAAAATTATCTTTTCCACTTATTTTCTTACACATAAAATTGGTTTTCTTTGAATAAAAACATCGTGAAAATAATTACATACATCAGTCTTTTAATATCGCTGCAGTATTTTGTAACTTTAATAGGTTTTCTATCTCTCTGCTACATAATGTAATGTACTCGATTTGATTCGAATGATTTTAACCGTAAAATCTTTATTACGTAAGGGAATATAGAAATCTTATTGAATCTATTACAAACACTTAATCAATTTACACGATCGCACGATTCGTTGACTCGAAATACTAGCGTGTTCAAATTGTAGTGAATTCTATCAGAAATCGAATGTTAAACGAATAAAACGAGATGTTTAGAATCTTAACCGGTAAAAAAATGCTGCATTTTATACCGCCTTTCTTGCCAATACCGATACTGAAAATCCCGATCTAATCGCATGTTTCAATTTTATGAACTGGACATAAATTAAAACTTGATATTAAAGATTATTGCATCGACAATTAAAGATAATATTAATATATGTTTCAATTTTTAAAAGCCGTCATAAAATCTAAACTTTATTCTCAAATCGATCTGTAATCTTTGCGAACATTAAATGCATAAACCCGTTGTTTATGAAAATAAATCGGTTTTGTAAATCATAAATATGATGTTTGTTTCTTTTTTAGTTTTTGCTATGCACTGTGGTGCTAATGATCCTTTTATTGTCGAATTTTCGTATTAATGTCTTTGTAAATATCCGAGTTTATGATTCTTAAGATGTGGTAATTGAGGGGTATACGCTGTCTTATGTGTTAATTACAAGTAGTATTATTTAATACTGTCATATTAAATTAACTTCATATTTTGGTATTTGCATATCGAATTAGTTTTAGTTTTTTGTTAATTTACTTGATCATATAATGATACACAATGATAGGACATTGCTTTTTGAATATATGCGCCTATTCTATTATGGAACATCAGACAATTTTTGGTAGTACACACTTAGGATGTCTAGATCGATCGATAGACCAGTAATAGGACGTCCGGATATAAGGACATTGAAATTTGCATAAAATGACTCCAACATTTCATGTTATATTATGAATTTTCAATTTAATACATATTGTGCTTTATAATATCTATAAATTTTGTTCTCGTCTCGAAGCCTGAGGATGGATTTGGACTATTTCCGAAACGTCGCAAATGAATAGTACCTTTAAAAAATGTACATACTAGTATTTAAAAATCAGTCATTCACAGTGACAACTTATATTTTGAACTTTCAAAAAATAAAACTTTCAATAGATTTATTCCACAAGAATGTGTAAAAAAAAATACAATATTCAATGTTGTTTATGTGGGTTTTCTAGATTTCAATTTTGTAATTGATTTTGGAAATTATTAGTTTGCATATAATAATTAAATTTAAAGTTATTTGAAACCTTTTTTATGTGTACAATCGTAGTACGTTGTAGTACTACATTGTCGTAGAATACTGTTGTACTGTAGTTGTACGCAGTAGTACTATCGTAGTACACTGTCGTACTGTAGTAGTACGCTGTAGTACACTGTCGTATTGTAGTAGTATGCTGTAGTACTATCAAAGCACACTGTCGTACTGTAGTAGTACGCTGTAGTACTATCGTAGTACGCTGTAGTACTATCGTAGTACACTGTAGTTCGATCGTAGTACACTCAGCACACTGTCGTACTGTAGTAGTACGCTGTAGTACTATCGTAGTGCACTGTAGTTTTATTGTAGTGCACTGTAGTTCTATTGTAGTACGCTGTCGTTCTGTTTTAGCACGCTGTTGTACTATCGCTGTACATTGTAACTCTGTCATTGTATGCTGCAGTACTATCGTAGTAATCTGTCGTTCTATCGTAGTACACTGTTGTTCTATAGTAATTTGCTGTCGTAGCATCGCATTACACTGTCGTTCTATCGTAGAACACTGTCGTACTGACGTAGTACGCTGTAGTACTATCCTAGCACACTGTCGTACTGTAGTACTATCATAGTACGCTGTAGTATTGTTGTAATACGCTGAAGTACTTTTGTAGCACACTGTCGTACTGTGGTAGTACACTATATTACTGTCGTAATACGCTGTAGTACTATCGCAGTACACTGTAACTCTGTCATTGTATGCTGTAGTACTATCGTAGTAATCTGTCATTCTATCGTAGTACACTGTCGTTCTATCGTGATACTCAACTCAGTAGTACTATTGTAGTGCTTTGCTATAATTTTGAATTGCTACGTCAAAAAGTTTTACTATTTAATTTCCAAAAGCAATACGCAGTTAAGTGCAATGTATTTTACTAGGTAATTTGAATTTATTTTATTAATTGTAATAAAACATTACGTATGGGCTATCACGTTAAACCTGATGTTCCAAAAAAGTCGAAACGAAAAAAATCACTCAAACTGTAATAAAAACTACATATAAGAAGAGTTTTATGTCTTCGAGAGTGCCCCGTCCGCATATGCGCTGTTTTCGATTAATCGTTCTATTAATTCAACGATCGCCCACTGTATCATCGAAAGTTATATGCGAAGCCGTTTTTTCGTTTTGCGTTTTGTGTATCGTGTTTTGTGTCGGCCCTCCTCATCTCCTCATCGTGTTGTATTCTTCATTTGTGCCTCAAACAAAGTTCCAATAAATTAAGATAATAAAAACGCCATATGTTATTGAGCATCGCGGCTCAAGAAACGGAATGCTGAAATAGCGATAGTTAATTTTGGATTTATGCAAATCCGCGGTGACATAATCTTCGACGATTCTTAAGATAACTTTTGTTATTGGAGGACATTGTCGTAAATTTTTTTCAATGTGGAACGGTATTTCTTTTTCTTGTGTTTTCGAAGACGCAGGTTAGTTGGGTCGGAGTATCGAGATTCGAGATTATGCTTTTGAGGATATTTACGATCAGCGAGATCGTATTGTGTAGTTGTTGGTAAAATCCACATTGTAGGTGTAGCATTGTACGTTCAATCCAACCCTAACTAAATTGTAAAACACCCTGTAATGTTATTAGTTACTGTATGAAATAGGATTCAAAGTAAAACAGAATTAAACGCACGCAAATGCAAATTAACTTGTCATTCTCGGCTTATGAATAAATATATACTTTTTATCTTTCCTTATATCTGTCATAGTCAGTGTTTACTGCTGCATGTGTAGAAACTGTACAGAGCCAACATGATAGGCTTGCACAAATGTATGAAAATGCCGAAAGCAAAAAGTAGAAAAAATCGTACCTAGAATAATAATTATGATGCGCATTCTATTAATTCAAAAGCATGAGAGCCACTTGGCTTATGAATATTCAAATTGAAATTTGACCAAGGGTATTTTCAGTCCTGCTTGATGCGTTGCAAAATGTTTCCTGATGTACATTTGGTAACTGAACCATGTTTTGGTTGAGAGCATCAAGATAATAACATTTAAGGCTCTTGTTCTCAATGTTATGCTATGAACATTGAATTTTGATAATGATTCAAAATAAGTAATTTTAAATCAATTCATCTAATTCCTTATGTATAATATTAATGCAATTTATTAATAACGAATTAACAGTTTACGTTACAC